GTGGCAGTAACTAACCAGGAATAAAACAACCAATTTTGGGCAGTCCAGGAAAATTATGTCATAATCTTTTATAAACATAAATATGAATCAATCTCCCTAATTATGGTGTTTCCAGATTCTCTAAATGGCATTATATTTGCATGATACACTCTTCACCTTTATGTATCTCACATAATTCACACCTACACATTTATGTTAGTGTGTATATCTTTAACAAAAATGATGCAAACTTAATACTGGTGACTTTAATGAATGATAATACCCCTATTGTTTCTATTATTGATTCGATCAGCTAAAAACTAGGTTACCAAAAAATGCATGTAACTACTGGAAGATTCGAGTTTAAATGTATTAATAGTTATAATAGTATAAGAATCAATATACGCTCTTTTTTTAAATTATATTTCTAAAATGTTGTTTGAAAATGTTATAATGGAATAAAGTCCCTAGTACCTCTGTTACATTCATTTCTAAAACAAGACCTGACATCAGTAAACACTACCAAGAACATTATACCCCTGCATTGTAAACACAGTTACAATTATCCAAGCACATTAATTATGGAAGAAAGCAGCTTTGATACTCCGTCTGCTAGAAAACATTTTATCCTAAACACATACAATGACATTTATTGAACATTGTGAATCAACAGTAAGTATAACAACCATAAACTCAAACTAATGCAAAGTATACCTGTTTTTGGTAAACAAAATAACTAAATATTAATTACAGAGTTTCTAGTTTTGCAACCGAACCTTTAGTACATTTATTCAATATACAATCCTGTATAGGTTCAAATTCAATAACAGTGTCAGATTATATTTATAAATGCACAATGTTAGCTAGAGCGAAGCAGAGATAACAATGTTTTGAGGATAGGCAGTTATTGACCTTGGTACAAGCAATGCTAAACAATAATGAAATCATAAATAATTACAATATTATTAAAAAGAATATATATATATATATATGGGCATCTACTACATGACTACAATGAGGAAAGGCCAGTAATAATGTTGAAGAGTGAGAGAGCACCTCTTCAGATAATATTTATTGCTGCAAATCAGCTTTTATTTATTTTTTGTTTAAAAAAGAATCCCAGTACTTTATCCCAAACTGTCATTAATCAAACATAGCTACAGATTACAGCAAGAGTTACTATATTGCTTTACAATTCAACCCAATCTAAAGTTAAAAGGAAATCAATAAACTCACCACTTAATTGTGCAAGGGGAGCTTCCATATTGCAGACAGGGATTTGTTTGGTGGCTGTTGAGACAGTACTAATAGGATGATGTGGGTGTGCTGTTACACTGTACAATCTGCTTCTACTTCTAACCTGTCTTAATTTGCGAATAGCGTTTGCAGCTAATTCCATGCCAGCTTGAATCTCCTTTAGGCAAACGCAGAGTAGAGATGATTAGCCAGACCTTCTGCTTAAGTGTTCCAACAGCATGGGACATGAACAACAAAAAAAACAATAATAATATCAAGTTAAAAAAAAAACAAACATATGCCAAAGTAAAAAAGAATATCAGAAATTATGGCACATTGGCAATAAAATAGTTAGAGAATTCTTGAAAGGCTTGGCCATAAACCCCCCAAAAAAACAAAAACGTATTTTCTTCCGTAGGTCAAATATCAACTAAAATAGCCATCTCATCTTTCAAAATCTACAAAAGAGCAATAAAATGGAAAATCCTGTAGAAAAGAAATCCAATAAGCATGAAAGATTTGGTTATACTGGCTGTATATCTTAGTATTGTTGAGAACAATGTTCTTTGTAAGACAACAAGAACTCGTCTGTAATACTGTATAGGGAGTTAAGCTTTTTATAGGTCTGTAATTTTTTTTTCTCTCTCCAGTTACACTTGGTATATGAAGACACATTCCTGCATTAAATATTAAAAGGCTTACCATGTAATCACCTGCTACTTTGGAACCGCTAAAACTACATTAATCGTTAACATATGATGGTCAATGAAGTTATTGAAGCATATGTTAATTCATTTTTGTAAGTAATATTCAACAATGAGTGAGAATATTGGAAGTCGTCTGCAGCAAAAAAAAAATCCAACATGTTATAATAAATGGGTAGAAGGGAGACTAACATATTTGATATTTGCAATTTGGACTACTCTAGATGATGAATGTTAAGAATGGTGACCCAAAATCACCCACTATGATATGGGATCTCATCCGCATTTGTGAAAAAATTCCATCCTGCTAACTATATGAGAGGTCATTTCAGATGTTGTTGTTGATGATTAAGGTACTTGATGATTAAGGTTCTTTCTTCAAACTTTATTTAGTGGTGACTCTATAGGGTCAGATTTTCCAATAGACAGAGTAGACCATTGACAGGAGGTGGTCACGGGCAGAGCGGAGAGACCGAGAAGGGACATACCTATGGATCTGTGAGGAGATATAAGAGGGGCTAGAGTTGTTCAGTGCTTTATAGGTGTGAGTTAGTGCCTTGAATTGACTCCTATAGCACACAGGAAGCCAATGTAAGGACTGGCAGAGGGAGGAGGTGTGAGAGAACCGACTAGAGATGAAAATCAGTCTAGCAACAGCGTTCATTACAGACTGTAGGGGTGCAGTATGGCTTTTGGGAAGACCAAGCAGGAGAGGGTTACAATAATCCATGCGGGAAATTACTAGAGCATGGACAAGCTCCTTGGTAGTATCTGGTGCAAGAAAGGGGCAGATGCGGGCAATCTACAGGATTTGGCAACATGCTGGATGTGAGGCTCAAAGGTGAGATCAGAGTTAAGTATGACGCCAAGACAGCGCGCTTGCAAGGATGGGCTGATGTTGGTACCACAAACTTGAAGGGAGAGCGAAAGAGGAGGATCAGTATTAGGAGGAGGAAAGACAAGGAGCTCAGTTTTTGAGAGATTGAGTTTCAGAAAGCGGGAGGACATCCATTCAGAGATGGAAGAAAGGCAAGCAGTGACACGTTGCAGGACAGCAGGGGAGAGGTCTGGGGAGGAGAGATATAGCTGGGTGTCATCAGCGTACAGGTGGTAGTGGAATCCAAATGAGGTAATAAGTTTGCCAAGAGAGGCAGTATAAAGAGAAAATAGAAGGGGACCAAGGACTGAGCCTTGGGGGACTCTAACTGAGACAGGGCGAGGGGAGGAGGTATCATTAGAAAAAGAGACACTGAATGAGCATTGGGAGAGATAAGAGGAAAACCATGAGAGGACAGAGTCACAGAGACTGAAGAAGGAGAGCATGATCAACGGTGTCAAAGGCCGCTGAGAGGTCAAGAAGAATTAGTATGGAGTAGTGGCCTTTGGATTTAGCTGCGATTAGGTCGTTAGTAACTTTGATAAGGGCAGTGTCTGTAGAGTGGAGAGGGCGGAAGCCAGATTGAAGGGGGTCAAGGAGAGAGTTGGAATTGAGGAAATGAGACACACGGGTAAAGACAAGTCTTTCCAGAAGCTTTGAGGAAAAAGGGAGCAGGGATATGGGACAGTAGTTAGAGGGGGTGGACGGGTCGAGGGATGGTTTTTTTAGTATAGGTACTGCAGTGGCATGTTTAAGGTCAGCAGGGACGATGCCAGAAGAGAGTGAGCAGTTGAAGATGTGTGTTAGAGAAGGCACGAGACAAGTGGAGAGAGATCTGATAAGGTGAGATGGGACAGGATCGAGCGGGCAAGTGGTGGGGCGAGAGGAGCAAAGAAGAGCAGCCACCTCTTGGTCAGTGGCTGGGGAGAATGTCTGAAGGGTAGGAAAGGCATGATCTATGTGTGATTGAGAAACAGAAAGGCAAGGAGGGGAGAATTCTTTCCTTAGCTGTTCAATTTTGTCAGTGAAGTAACATGCAAAGTTATCAGCAGTAAGGTTGGTTTGGGGGGTGGCCACAGCGGGGCGAAGAAGAGAATTAAAGGTGTCAAAGAGACGCCTGGGGTTGCAGGAACATGAACTAATGAGAGAGGAAAAATAGGACTGTTTGGCAAGGGCAAGGGCTGCACTGTATGAACACAATATGAATCTATAGTGGAGAAAGTCTGACTGTGTGCGAGAGGATGAAGAATTAGGATGAAGAGGTCTGGGTGACTATAATGTTTCTTTAATGTCGAGTCTGTGATCTATAGAGTATTCTTTTTATAAACAAAGACAACAAGAGCACAATATTTCAAAAGACAACTGCCATCAGATTTCCGATTCTCTTTTTGAAAATTTTCTACTTGGCTGAGCAACTATTTTGGGTCAGCCACTACTGTCATAATACTAATTGCTCCTCAACCTAACTTGCTGCTGCTAAAGTTTCACAAATTTCACACAGAGCAATCACAGCATCTTGCAAGTTAGGTGGAGCTGAAGTTTGTCAAATAACAGCAGAGTATAACCCAATATGGCTCCCATATTCATTGCATGGAAATGTCCAGACCAGATTCCTATTGGGGTGAGCACCCCACCCATCCACTACAGATGCCCCGTTGGAGGTCACCACAGGAAACCATAAAATAAAGAGAGTATCTGGAAGCTATTTAAGAAGTAAGTATTGCAGTTAGCATGTAAATCTCTTGTGGTAAAATTAGTGTTGGGGTACTGTGATGTAGTGGTGGGTTTAATACAATATGGCCATATGATGTAACTGAATCCCCCTATTATTTTGCTAAGATAGGTGATTGTAAGCAGCTTTGTAAATTGTAAAACTGTTTTTTTTTTTGTACGTGCGCTGCTCCCTAATCTGTATTTTGTATTTATTTTGGTCTTTACTTCAGCGTCACTACTTAGGAATGCATGTTCCGGGTGTGCCTACAATTCCCATTTTCTAATTAAATGGACAATATATAACTTATTATAGCAATGACATAAAAAAATAAGGACATTCACAATAAAACACAAAGACACTGTAAATGTTTAATAGCCATAGCTTTTATTTAAAGAATTTGAGAAGCATTGCAAATAACCATTTCAATAAGAAAACATAACCAGATGCTTAAAATAGCATGAAAACTACATTTAAACCAACACAAGACACCCTCAGATCCAGATTGGTATCATTGTGCTTCTAGCCACCCCCAAGTTTTGGAGGCATCCTTACCTCTTTATGTAAAGCCCACAACAGAAAATTGGGAGAGTGGGTGGGATGCTTGTCCTGGTAAGCTGAGGGAAAAGGTTTACCCAGCCACATATATAATTACAGTGCTGCACAAGCTTGATTAACTCTAGCCAATCATATTATCAGATTTGTGTGCCATTTGTGCTGCACCTATCAGGTAAAAAGGTATACCTGTCTCTACCTAAACTACCCATCCTATGGCCTAAACCTGACAACTCTGTTCAATATTTCCAGCAAGTTAAAGCTATGGCTATGATGCCAGTGATTTGTAATGTCCATTGTGTGGGCAATATACAACTTATTATAGCAATAACATAAATTAACTAAAGGTATACACAATAAAACACAAAGAGATTGTAAATGAATATAATGGCCATAGTTTTCAATTAAATAGTTTAAGAGACATTCCACATAACCATTTCAATTAAAAAAAATAACAGAACCAGAACTGAATAAACCTTAGAATAACTTTAAAACCGCGCTCAAACAAATTCAATCCACCTTCAGAACCATATTGTTATTATTGCGCCCATTGATCCCCAAAATTGGAGGCAACCTTACCCCAAAGCCGAATATGCAGCAGTTTAACTGCTGTTGACGGCCCCTTGCAACAAAACCATAGTCTTTTCAATTAGCTGTTGCAGACTATTATTAAACATGTCTTCCCATATGTCAGAAAGATGAAAACAATCCAGACCCTGAAAAACACCTTCAAAATCATCATGTCTACAGCAAAATCCCATTAAAGAGATAATATAGTGCTAAGAACACAAAAGTTGCTTAATAACCAGGAAGCACCTGTAGTGGCTGTCTGGTAGACAGTGAGGCAGACTTAGTGCTGCAATGTAAACTTTGCCGTTTCCCTGGAACTGCAATGTTTTACATTGCAGGACTAAGTGGGACAGCGACACTTCAATAAGTGGTCTGTCGTGTCCCTTTAAGCATGCATAGCCCTGCTAATCTTCCTACACGCTAGCTGCACTGCCTTAAGCCTAAATTAAGCGTAACACTATATCTGAAAAAGCAAGGAAAGAAGTTGGGAACTTTTGTTTCAAATAAACAAAAAAAATATTAAACACAACGTTAGCTGTAATTATTTTAAGGAACTAATATCATTACTATCCATGTGAATTACTACAATATTTGGATAAGGAAAACAAGTGTTATAATTTTCATAATAAAATTGCTATAATTATCAACCACTTTCAATAACTTGGATAATGTCAGGATTCTATCATCTTGCCAACACACAGTAATTTATTTCGGATACAATCCCCAATTCGGCCCATGAGATCTTGCAAGAGTTCTGCTATGTGAGTCAGTAATACATTGTAAATTAAATGATAACTCTAGTCTTAAATGTTTTTTTAAAGCAATTAGATTTCCATGTTCCCAACCTTTAAATAATGTCTTGTAAAAGACTAAATGATCAATTTCTGTAACTTTCCCTATTCTAAAAGAGTGTGAAGAAAAATGTTCTTGTCACCAACCTAACTTCTCAAAATGTTTCCTAAGAATGACTCTACACTGGTATCTTAAGAGTGGACTGCATTTGTGTGTATTAAGAGACGACCCTGTTTTTTCCGGTCATACAATTAAAAATTGTGGGGATAGGGCACATAAAGAATTTATTGCATCTAAAACAGTATGGTTGACTCAAATTCTCATATTGGCAAAATCAGCACTCCAGACTTCTAACATAGTCACAACTGGAAATAACTCTAGTATGGTCATGTTCCTTGTCCACCCCACCTGCCAATACCCTATTTACGATTACAATAAATGGCAAAACCATGCTTATCTGATGCATCTGCATAGAAATCACACTGCCAAAGTGAACGATCGTTACATTTAAAAAAAAATCCAATCAAATTGCAATGACCTCTTTTATCTCTCTTGTAATGCCCACATGCAAAAATGCTAATTTGTTTCCCCCAGAAATGCGAAGAGACATTTTTCCAGTAAAAATACGACCATAGGGATTACTCTTGAAGTAAATGCCAATGTCCCAATAACTGCTGAAAAGTTCTAACTGTGACTTTTTGAGCACTTTTAATCTGAGATAGCATCGATGATAACTTAATGATTTTATCTGGTAGAAGATGGAATTCCATCTTCTCTGAGTTTATCAAAATGGCAAAAAAATTGTAAGCAGGAAGTAAGCAAGACTGATCTGTCCCTAGCTAAAATCTTCAGCCAATTCACAAAATGTGTTATTATTATTATTTGTTATTATTTATATAACGCCAGCTTGTTCCGCGGCACTTTACAATAAGAGGGGAATTTACCAAATGAGACAATAATAAAATGTAACAGGAACAATAGGTAGTTGAGGACCCTGCTCATATGAGCATACAATCTAGAGGAGGTGGGGTATAAAAACACAATAGGAAGGGTATTGAGGGAGACAGCAAATTGACATGGTGGGAAAATAGCAGAACTGGAGGTAAGAGTGGAGTGCGGTCCTTTAAGAGAGAGCAAGAGGAAGGTTTCAGAGATAAAAGTTACTCTTGGAGGCCATAAGCAATCCTGAAAAGATGGGTTTTGAGGGACTTTTTAAAGAATTGAAGACTAGGGGAGACTCTGAGAGGGGTAGGCAGGCTGTTCCAAAGGAAAAGAGCAGCCTGTGAGAAGTCTTGCAGGTTTGAATTTGCAGCAAGGGTGTGAGCAGCATACAGGAGAAGGTCACCAGTAGAGCGGAGAGACAGAGAGGGGGCATACCTATTAATCAGTAAAGAAATGTAAGAGGGGCTAGAGTTGGTTAGGGCTTTATAGGTAAGGGTTAGTATTTTAAATGTAGGGTACAGGAGGAAGCCAGTAGGGTACAGTAGGAAGCCAGTGTAAGTTTTAAATTGACACCTGTAGGAAGCCAGTTTAAGTGTTAAGCAAGTATTCACATTCCTTGGTCCCTGATTGTCCAATTTTTTTTTTAAATCACCCAGAAAGTGAACAACAGAATCTAAACCAGTTTTAAACTTTAAAACCCATTCCAAAAATGTTTCACATTACTCAAAGTAGAAATGGAAAATTTAGCAACCAATGGGCATGAATTTATCATAGTAAAATTGCCCATCCAGCTGAAAACCAAAGGAATTAAAACATTCAGAATGTCTTGGTAAGAAACAGAACGCTGCCTCTATATCAACCTTAGAATTTTGGCCACATGCCATTACCATTTCCATTGTGTCATTAAAGGATACATATCTCAAAGAAAATTGAGAAGAATCAATTTTATCATTTAATGACTGACTCGCTGGAAAAGATAAGTGTTGGATTAGATGAAAATCACCTTTTTCTTTCTTAGGAACTAACCCTAACTTTAATTATTTATTAACTTTTGGAACTGCAACTTCTTTGTTTAACTGATTTTAGATTTCTACCCAAATGAAGCCATCTGAGTACAAAATGGGGATTTTAAAAACATAAGCAAAATCATCAATTATTACTTTGGCTTTCTCCTGATTTGGATAAATTCTTAAAAATAGAAGCATTTTTCCAATTTCACTGGCGTCACTGCTTTGTGGGTCTTCTAAAAACATTCTGCATAGAATTGCATTTAAAACATTTTAAAGCTGGGTATAAACCACCACAATGAGTGCATTCGTGTTTATAGTTAGAACTATTAGGTCATCTACACTCAGAGTCATTAAAAGACACAAACCCATGTTTCTGGCCAGAAACAGTAGGAACAATAGCTGGTTTAGAGGAAATAACTCATTGTCTTTGTGCTAACCCACAATCAACCCAAAGCTGGACCAGTCTGAATACCCTGTAACACATCTTACAGTTACTTCCCCTAGCATCTCTAAAGCAGATACCCAGGGAAGTGCTCACCAGTCTGAAGAGACACCGCTTTGTGCATTTCTCTGAGCTATAGCTACAGTCTGCAGATGTTGAGGTTTTTCCTGTGCAGCAACAGCCTTAGCTGGGTCCCGCCTCTTACTGCTTAGGCTCTTCTTCTTGCCTAAAGCAATTGGCGAATGCCTTTTAGGTTGAGTAATCCTCTTCTTTCTCAGGTGTCTGCAGTTTTGTGACATAAAGTTTCTTCCTGCTCACTTATTATTATTATGATATTTATAGAGCGCCGTCAAATTCCGCAGCGCTTTACAATGGGTGGACGAACAGATGTAGTTGTAACCAGACAAGTTGGACACACAGGAACAGAGGGGTTGAGGGCCCTGCTCAATGAGCTTACATGCTAGAGGGAGTGGGGTAAAATGACACAAAAAAGGTAAGGATAGTATTAGACTAGTGACAGTTGCAGAAGAGGAATCAGTCAGGAGCTATTAACAGTTTAATTGATACGCTTTTATGAAGAAGTGGGTTTTTAACAATTTTTTGAAGGAGTGGAGACTGGGTGAGCATCTAATAGAGGAGGGAAGCGAGTTCCACAGGAACGGTGCAGCCCTCGAGAAATCTTGAAGGCGAGCATCAGAGGTGGGAGTACGGACAGAAGATAGAGGTAAGTCTTCAGCAGATCGTGAGGGCCTAGACGGGACATAATTGTGTATAAGGGAGGATAGATAGGTGGGAGCAGCATTATGTAGAGACTTGAAAGCAAGAACCAGAATTTTAAATTGAGCTCTATATTTTATAGGAAGCCAATGTAGGGACTGACAGAAGGGTGAGGAATGGGAGGTGCGGGCGGACAGGAAGATGAGCCTCGCCGCCGCATTCATTATGGACTGTAACGGCGCAAGTTAGGAGCACGTAAGACCACTGAGAAGCGGATTACAGTAGTCAAGGCGAGAAAGGACAGTGGAATGGACCAACACCTTAGTTGCATCTGGCGTTAAGTAGGGGCAGATGCGCGCAATGTTTTTGAGATGGAAATGACAGAATTTGGTGATAGATTGAACTTGAAGCTTGAAGGAGAGGTCGGAGTCAAAGAGAATACCTAGGCAGCGAGCCTGCATGGTGGAGCTGATGGTAGCAACATTGACTTGGAGGGAGACAGGCACAGGAGTAACAACACTTGAGGGAGGAAAGACCAGCATTTCAGTTTTGGTCAAGTTTAGTTTAAGGAAGTGGGCAGCCATCCAGTTAGAAACAGCAGAGAGTCAGTCAGAGACACTAGTCAAGATGGACGGGGAGAGATCAGGAGAGGACAGGCAGATTTGTGTGTCATCT